AATGACTTGTCCTCCATCCGTGGAACGCTCGCAAAGTGCTAAGACGAATGAGCGCGGCGCTACAGCGAGAGCCACAGTTTGGAGTCGGCCCGTCCTCCATCTGAGCAATTGTTGCATGAACCCGTAAGACGAATGCGCGCGGCGCTAGGGCGAGAGCCGCAGTTTAAAAACGGCCTGCCCTCCATCCGTGAAGCTCTTGCAAGCTTCTTAGACGACTGCGCGCGGGGCGAAGGCGAAAGCCACATCTTGAGAGCGCCCCGCCTTCCATCAGTGCAACTCTTGCAGAAACTGTTACAACAATGTGCGCGGCGCTAAATCAAGAGCGACATTTTGAAAACGGCCCGCCCTCATTCCGTGAAGCTTTTGCAAAGTACTACGACGAACGCGCACAGCGCCTAGGCGGGCGCCATGTTCTGGAAACAGCCCGCCCTCCATGTGTGAAGCTCTTGCAAAGTTCCGGATTCGGGATGAGAAATGGCGAGGAAGTTTCAGGCGGCACGTCCGAACCGCCCCACCGATCCGTCTCGGGGTGCGATTCACAAGGCAAAGGATGGAGGAGGAGGAGGAGGAGGAGGAGGAGGAGGAGGAGGAGGAGGAGGAGGGGGGAAGGGAATTGCGGAGACACGCGGAAGTTGAGGATGAGGAGAGACGAGGGAGGGGGGAGATGGGATGCAAGCCCCGTGAGGATCGAGGGGGAGGACGAGGAGGGGGGGAGCAGGAGCAGGAGCAGGAGCAAGGGCAGCAGCAGCAGGAGCAGGAGCGTCAGTAGGAGGAGGGAGGACTGCGAGGACAGAGTCGAAGATCGAGGAGTCGAGACCCAGCCAGGCGATCACGCTTCACGACGCACACGTGACCTGGGCCCACCGCCCAGGCTGCAAGCTTGCCTGACCAGCCTCGAGGGCCACAGGCAAGAATTGACGAGCAGATGCTGGCCAGTCTGCCGCGGACTGCGACCTTAGCGCCCCCATGATTCGGAGGAGGGCCAGTCGAGACAACGGCGTCCCTCCCTTGCGCTTTTCGTCCGCGTGGGGCCTCCTGCAGGCTTCTCGTTGCCACGGCTGGATCTGCTTCGAAAGCCTGGTCAGGATGGACCCGGAGGGAGGAGTCCGAGGGGGAACGACTCTGAGACAATTCGGGCCGGGCGGCAGAGCCGCCGTTGTCTCAGTTGGCCCGCCTCTGGCAAACACTACCCGGTCTACCACCGAGTGCCGCCCTACCGCGCCATGATGTACGGCGCAGAAGCAAGGGCTCTGATGGAGCCCTTCAGACAGCACGTGAGCCGCGCAACGACGGATGGTCACGGTTGTCTAGTGGAGCGGCGTTGGCGACGCGCGTGTTGCAATTTGACTTGTGCGCTCCACATGGACCATGACTGACTCAGGTGGCAGTCGCGACATGTCCAGCAATCCCGTCATCCCGTCAGTCCCTCCGAGCATGCGAGGGCAACATCGACAGGATGTCAAGATCTCGTACCCATCAGCAGTCGCTGGGCGACATCGTCTTGTGGTTTGGCCTCATCCGCAGAAACACTCGCAGGGGGGAGGATTTCCTTGAGCAGGCAGGGCGTTACAGCATCAAATCTAGATGCTGGTGCATCGACATATTGTCTGGCGCTGTGCTGCACACCAGCCGACCACCCACCGAGCCGCGCGCGCAGCGATGCGGTTAGGCGGGGCAGAGGCGGAGCAGCCGGGCCGAGAATGGGGCAGCCCCAGCCCCCGATCAAGTTAGGACTGCAAGGCCGGACGATCGAAGCCCTCCAGTGCAATTTGCTGACGCCGCGTCTCTTCTGGAGCTCTGATTCGGCTGTTGCCAGGAATGACGCTGGCACCCTGGCCCACAGAGCCCCTGGCTTTCCGCTCGGTTTGGGAGCCCCTGGAGCCCTGTGGGCCTCGTTTGGGGCGCTCTAGAGGTTGTGGGGGCCTCCCTGAAAACCTTGGGGGCACCTGTTCCAGCGAGACCTTTGGCACAACACGACTATCTAGCCACACTGGCTGCCTATGCGCCCCACCCCCCCACCACGTGCGCTTCTGCGACCTTGAAAGCAGCGCACGCCGGGTGCTCGTCGTCCAGACCAGGACCGAGTGCGGTGGCGGGGCAATGCAAGCAGCGCGAATCGGAAGAATGCGCATCGGAAGAGATCGGTTGCACGTAAGAGTTACCCTTCGCTGGGGTGACCTTCGGTGCGCGGCTCGTGGGTGGTGCTTGGGGGCCTAACCCAAGTACGCAAGCCGCCACTAGCATCGCATGCAACGATCGGCTTGGCGCAACGAAAGTCATTCTTGCCTAGGGTCGCTTCTGCGTGTGGCCGAGGAGAGTCGGACGATGAGGGTTAATATGAACATCCAGTCCCGAATTGGACAGAACGCCAAAGTTTCGGCCTCCTCTCCGAGGCGGCTTCTATCTCAGAGGAGAGGGGGGGAGGAGGAGGAGGAGGAGGAGGAGGAGGAGGAGGAGGAGGAGGAGGAGGAGGAGGAGGAGGAGGACGAGGAGGACGAGGAGGACGAGGAGGACGAGGAGGAGGAAGCAGCAGCAGCAGCAGCAGCAGCCAGACTCGGCACGCTTGGGTTGTCCTTCAAAAGGGGACCAGCCGATTGGAGAGAAGGATGTTGTGAATCTCTGCCTGGCGCTCGCGGAGCAGCCGGTCGAGGGCAGGGGTTATTGGAGCGGGTTGTGTTGAAGGGCTTGTGATCCTCCTCCGAATCCTCCATCCTTCGGCCCCCTTTCTTCATCGACCCCCGCCGAGGGCAAACAAAAAAGTAAGCAACATTTCTGAATTGCCACCATTGCCACCACGGATAGAAGAAAAAGACCGGAACACATGCCTTACAATGCGGCAGTCGGCGGTGAAGTTTTCGAGGCTGAGTAAACCGCGCACGGGGGCGCCAGAAGCTGCGCGGCAGCACCCGTGAGCGTTTGGGGCGCCAGTGAGCACTCGAGAGCGCAAGAGGGCGCTTGCGGGTCGAGCGGAGGCGCCTGGCAGTGTTAGGGGAGGTCTGGGGAACGCCTGGACGCCGCCCACGGATGCCCGGGAACGGAGGTGCGCGTGAAATGCCCGGGGGCATCGAGGACCACTTTGGAGCGCATGACGAGCGCTTGGCATCGCAGGGGCTCACCCGAGAGGGCCGCAGCGCCATAATTAGATTGCACATGAGCCTTTTGGAGTGTCTCCCGATTTTTTTGTGGCAGCTTGGACAAATCCGAGAGTTGCCGCGTCCCGAGGTTGCGGGACTCAGGGGGACCATTTGGGAGTCTTCGCGAGGCAATGCAATGCGACGGGGACCGAGTCTCCCAGGAGGGTCGTCGTCCCAGCGCTGCGCAGTGTGGAGCCCAGGTTAGGAAACGCGGCGTTGACGAGAACCGTTGGACAAAAGTCAGAACCAGCCAGCTCGCCGAAAACCAGTTCTTGTCTTACAAAACATCACTCATTTAAGCACGGGCGCTGGAGTCGGCAGTCGTTCTCTGAGTTCTCGTAGGGCAGCACTGCCTGGTCTGCCGCGAGGCCACGAGGCAGTTGCAATTATGGAATACTCGATACCGAGTCTCCTTCATGGTTTTCCACAAGGAGACGAGAAAACGTGCTGGCCATGACTCGAGCCCCCAGCGGCCGATCGGGACGACCTGGGCACCCGCGGGACGCTCTCGGCGAGGCGCAGCTGCCAGAAAGTTGCCCAGGGCGAGAAAATTTGCAAGGACAGACGAGGACACCAGAAAATTCCCAAGAACAGGGCGGTCGCGGAGCCCCCTTGTCTCGAGGGTCTGGCGGCCGCGCCCCCCCCCCCCCCGCCATCACGGTCGCATCCACACAGCGCACACCGAGTTGCTCGACGTCGAGGTCCCGGCTGCATCTTGGAGCGTGTAAGCGCGGAGGCGCGTGCGTCGAAGCCGCCCCACGTGGGGCGCTCCAGAAAGGGCACCGCCTTCGAGAGATCGAGAAGTTGACATCCGCCCCCCAGCAGAGCGGCGGAAGGCGAGTGGAACCTGGCGGAAGCTGGACGAGGGCGGCTCCGCCGTCGCAAGCCGGCGGAAGCTTCGCGGAAGGCGCCCCAGAGATGTCCTCATTTCTTGGCCCAGGGGCTCTGGAACCCGCTGCATGGGGCTGGAAGTAGATTGCGTCGCTGGATCCTGGCGGAAGGGGGCGGTCCCTCGGGAAGGGAACGGGGACAGAGCACAGCACGGCGCGCCACCCCAGCGGCGCTCTCGGAGCCAGATGACAAAAGGTAGCGCAGGTCAACGCATCCGCTATCCCGTGCCCGATCCGACGCACGTTTCGATCCGACTTCCGGATTCGATGCTGACCGATCTTGCACATTCAAAGTCTTGAATTCATCCTGGCGTTCTGGCCTTTTTTCGGCCTTCTCTTTTTCTACAATGGTCCCGCCTGCCCCCTCGCTCATTATCCTCCTCCTCCTCCTCCTCCTCCTCCTCCTCCTCCTCCTCCCACCTATTTTCGAAGCCTGGTTCTCAAGCAGATTTCGTAACTAGCCATTTTGGCTCAGGCCGCTCTGGCCAGAGAGCGGCTCTCGCATCACTGCCGCCAGAAATCGCAGGCTACTTCTCGCACCCAATCCCTGAGTTCCCCCCCCCATAAATTAGGCCTTTTAGAAAAGAGCTCTTGGATGCATCCCCTCCGGGGGCTATTCCGACGCACTCCCCATATCGAAGATGGACGCCCCATTATCGTATGTCCTCGAGTTTGGCATCGAGATCTGCGCTTCCAGCAGAACCCACAGGGTCGGGGATTGGGGCCGCCGTGCGGTCGGTTCGTGTCATGTCGACTCGGCGGCGACCCCAGCGTGAGCGTTCAAGGTTGAACGCCGCCAGTGGCCCAGAATCGGCCGACGTCGAAAGGTCTGCGCAATCGGGAGGCCGCGATCGCGCAAGGTGCCGCAAAGTTGAACGATCCGCGCGATGTCAGACGCCAGCGCGCAAGATGTCACGACACGAACCTGCCGCACCCCCCGCTGACAGGCTCGGCGCACGGCGCGGGGTGGGCCTCCATGGTCGCCCCGCCAGCGGTGCTGCTGCGCCCCCAGTCCTCGGGTGCGCGCCCGCACCGCGCGCACTCCGCACGGGGCGTCGAGCTCATCCGCGCCGCAGAGCTGGTGATCGCAGGGGGGACATGTCGGAGGAAGTTTCTGGAGGTTCTCGGATGTTTTCCAGCATCGGGGAGCTCTTTAACTAGGGGAGTGAAGAATGTCATAAAACAGAAGAACTCGGAGGTCCGCGCGGATGTCTCAGATCTGCGCTGGACCCCCCTCCCTGGTGCGCTCCGCGCGCCAGGGGCGGCGCTGGAGGCGCCGCCAGGGGGGTCCAGCGCGGATCCGAGAAATCCGCGCAGACCTCCGAGTTTCTACGGTCATGTCATTTTTCGTTCCCCTGTTAACGGCGGCTGCGCCTCGTCGAGAGCGTTCGAAGGGTGCCAGAAACGTCCCGAACGGCTGCTGGAGGTACGAGGTGCGGCCCCCAGATCCTGAGGGTCGAGGCAGCCGCGGCCGTCTCTGGTGTTCTTCGCCTTGTTCTGGGCCCCAGGAGGCTCCTCGTCGACGCCCTGGCCCGCCCCGGACAACGGGCCAGGATGGACCCCTTGCAGGAGGGGTCGGGAGACCCACTTTGAGCGGCCTTAGGCTGGGCGGGAGAGCCGCCACCCTTGTCTCAACCGGCTCTCTTCCGAGGTGAGGGACCTGGAGCCCCTCGGTGCGCCGGCTGCGGACGCGGCGGCGGCTGCCCGGCTGCAGGACGCGCTGGTGCACGGCCGCTGCGTCGACGCCTTGAGCGTACTGAGGCACCTGGAGACCGAGCTGGACCTCAACTTCCAGGGCGCCCGCGAACCCGCGGGCGCCAGCGGTGCCGCCGGCGGAGCCGACTGTGCCGCGGAGGGCGAGGACCCCGACGAGGTTTCCCTGCAGCTGCAGCTGGTGGGCCCTGCCGCGCCCGGACCGGGCCAGGCCAGGCCTGGCAGGGGCTTGGGCCTGCTGGTGCGCGCGCGCCACCCCTGGGAGCTGCGCCCGGGCGCCGGGTCCACGCGCCACAGGACGTGCTTCCTCGCCGCCGTCGTCGTCGTCGTCGCACGCGCCGCCGCCGCCGCCATCGCCGTCGCGGTCGTCGTCGCCGCCGTCGTCGCCACCGCCGCCGTCGTCGCCGCCGCCGTCGTCGCCGTCGCCGGCGCTGGCTCCACGCGCCACAGGACGCGCTCGGCGCTGCCGCCACCTGCGCGCGCCTGCCGGGAGCCACACTCGGCGAGGGCGACGCCCTCGGGCGCCTGGCTGGCGCACCACCCCGGCGGCGGCCGGCCGCGCGCGGAGGCCGAGGCGCCAGGTGGGGGGCCGCAGGCGCTGCGCTTGGAGCTCTGCGAGCAGAGGCCCGAGAGCCTGCTGCTGCGGCGGCGGTGTGCCCGCGGGCCACCCGCACCGGGCTCGTGGGCTGCGGACTGGCTCGCTGGCGTGCAGGAGCCGTGGCTGAGTCATTGCCTATCCACGCCACCATGCCCGGGTTGTAGGTCAGAGGCCTCTGACAGTGATGCCTGTGGGGATCTCTTAGTTGGCCTCTCGGAAGCCTATTGGATTCGATTTGGGGGTGTCTTGGAGGCCTCTCCTCTTGGGGGCCTCTTAGGCTCTTGAGCGTGATTTGCGCCGTTCTGGGTGCCTCCGGGAGTTTGCGGAGCGCCTCCTGAGAGTCTGCTGGGGGTCTCGGGGGCCATCTTGGGGCGAAGGGCTCTTAATGTCGATTCGTGTTTCTCCCCTGGGGCCTTTCTTGGGCCCCTCTTGGTGCCCTATTGGACTGTCTTGGGAGCCTATTGGGCCGTCTTGGGGCTATCTTAGGCCGTGTGGGGGAGCTCTTGGGGGCCTCCTGGACGGTCTTGGAGCGTCGAAAGCCCGAAACGGCGACAACAATAAAATCTTTGAAGAATGCGTTTGGCATCTCCGGGTCCTCTTGGAGCCCTCGTAGGTCGTGTTGGGGGGCTCTGTGGCCGTCTTAGGGGCCATCTTGGAAGTCTTGGAGCGCTCGTGGGCCGACACTGGGCCATCTCGAACCCTCTTGGACGCTTCTTGGGACCCTCCTGGCCCGTCATAGGGACCCTCCTGGCCCGTCATAGGGGCCCTCTGGATTCTGGGAGTCACTCGAGGAAGACTGGGAGCGCGCGGGACCGCCCAGAAGATCTGAGATGTTGGGTTCCCTGCCTTTGATTGCTTCGAAGATTGCACGACTGAGTACAGAATGCGGAGAACTCTAGAAGCCCGGGGAACACTACACTTCGCTTCGTGCCTCGAGGCACGGTGGCAGATATACCCGCCGCCCTGGAGACGGATCCTCCTGGACCACGGGAGGCGGATACGTTCATATCTCCGCCGCCCCCTGGCGCCCCAGGGCGGCCTCGGCTCCCCAGGCAGTGGATACGGCTACAGCTGGCACGAGGGCCAAGAGCAACCCTGGCTTTACAGGGGCGCCCTCCACCTGGAACGCTCTTCGCCCAGAGTCACTGCAGCCATGGGGCCCCGGATCTTCGGCGCAGGGGCTCGTGCTCTTGGCACGCGCCCCTTTGTGGCAGAGCTCCGACTGTGTGCAAGCCTCCGCCTGGCCACAGGAGCAGTGCCGCAGGCTCGAGGACGCCCTCCTGCGGGAGGGGCCCTCCGCGGGCAGGTGCAGCCCCGCGGGCAGCGCCGGAGCCAGCCCACGCGGCGCCCCGCTCTCGTGCGCGCTGGAGCCGCGCCGCGTCCAGGAGCCCCCCCCAGGCAGGCCTGGGGCAGCGCCGAAGGGAGTCACCACCAGGGGGGCCGCTGGCGCCTCCAGAGGATCGAGGCTCCAGGATCGGAGCTCGCGGAGGTGTCTGGTCGTTTGGGGTCGCTGCGGGGGGGGGGCTCTGGAGTGTCCGTGGGGGCCCCACTGCCTCCAGGAAACTGGCGCTTCCTCGAGGAAGCCGCGACCCCCCTCCCTTGAGGCATTGCCCGGTCAGGCAGGGGCTCCCGCGCCTCGCCGGCGCCGGAGAGCGGCGCGGCGCCCGCTGCGGCGGTCGAAGCTCGGCGGAGGCAAGGAGGGGCGGACAGCCCAGGCGTCGGGCACGTGCGCGTTTTCCTCCGGGGGCCTCGTCGAAGACGTGGGTGGTCGGAGTGCGGTGTGCTCTCCCCTGGGCCGTCCGCCCCCCTGTCGCAGCCGGGAGGAGAGACAACGGCACAGGCATGAACGGTTCAGGTCCGCGCGGATGCCTCGGACTGGCGCCGGATCCTCCTGGCGGCGCCTCCGGCGCCGCCATTGGAGGGGAGTCCGGCGCCGATCCGAGAGGAACCCTCGCGGACCTGAAGCGGCTCATGCTCATGATGTGTGTTTCGCCAAGGCGGCAGCTTCGCAGCAGGCGTGCCTCCGGCACGTCGGGCGCGTCGTGCGCCTGCTGGCCCCCGGGCTACCCTCCGCCGCGCGGCTGCTGGAGGGGGCCGTGAAGGAGACGTCTTTGCAAGGAGGAAGGTCCGATCTACTCTTGTAAGCGTGTTCTTCTTGGTTGAAGCCAGGTTTGGTTTCACAACGGGATGTCGGTCTTTCCTCCTGAAAGGTGGCCCAAGCCTGACGAGCCGCTATCACAGCTTCGGAATCTTGCAACGCACGCCAGGAGAAGCAGCGAACCTGGAAGCAAGTTGGTCTTTCTGCGAGGCGTCTCATTAGAAATTCTATGTCCACGATTGCGGGGATCTGGCTGCGGGGTCCTGTGGGGTGGGATGTGCAGATGTTGTTCGCAAGCTTTCGTAAGACCCTGTCGCAAGGGCTGGAGCTGCTCTCGTTCCCCATTACACGGCTTCCTCCTTCTCTACCTCCTCCTCCTCCTCCTCCTCCTCCTCCTCCTCCGCCTCCTCCGCCTCCTCCTCCTCCGCCTCCTCCTCCTCCTCCTCCGTCCGACGTTCAGAACGCGCATCTCACAGCCATTGAATCCATATTATTTGCCAGCGTTTCAGGTGGCACAGCACCCCACTTCAGTTCCAAGAAGGTGTTGGCATACGCCTCGTAAGTGCTATTGTCTTGCTGCTGCCCTCTTCCTCCTCCTCTCTCCTTCATCAGCCGTGGCGTCGCGGAGTCCCCCTCCCAGCAGCTGGGAAGCCGCGGCTTTCCAGAGGAGCTGGTGGTGTCCTTCGACGCGGACCTGGCGGCGGCGCACGGCCGCGCCTCGCGCCTGGAGGCCCTGGCGGCCGCTGGGGAGGGGCTGGGCGAGGAGCTGCAGGCCGCGAAAGACGAGCTGGGCAAGGCGAGGATGGCCCAGGATCGGGTCAGAGGGCGAGCTGAGACAGCGGTGTTTCGTTGACCTTCGATGGGGGGGCCATTGTCGCCACGGCTGGGCGCATCCCGGAAAGCTGGTGCATTTGGACCCCCGGAGTGGCCCGGGGGCTGACTTTGAGCTGCCGTTGTCTACACTCGCCCTGCTCCGAGACAGGGAGCGCGCGGGGGTGCGAAGTATGCTGCACTCCCCGCCGCCGGTCGCTTTCGTTGATGCATGGTTGCTGCGTGAGCTGATTCGCGCTCCGCCCACCCCCCCCCTGTCGTCCGACCTGGCAGGAAGAGGCCCGGAGGGCGCTCCAGCAGATGTCGCGCCAGAAGAACGCGGAGATCGAGAAGCTCAGCAGCAAGGTGCGGCGTCTCCAGGTCGAGCTCGACCGCATCACGCCCGACGAGTCGAGGCTGGAAGGGGTCGCCAAGCTCATGGCCGAGTGCAGCAAGCTCATCGGAGAGATGGAGAGCGAGACGATGGAGCAGGACATCGGGGGCAGTGTTACGGGGAGATAGGCTCAGGAGTGGACGCATCGACCCCCAATCGCCCACTCATCGCTGATAGGGGCCCCGATGGCCCACCCCGCCCAGCAACGTGCGGGTTCGCTATAAGGGGCCTCTCGCCAATCTCCCAGCTATATCACACACAGACAGATATAGACACACGCATTCCTCTTCGCATATTTTTAGGAGCCTGGGCGGGGGGAAAACCCATCACCGCCCCCCCAAACAAAAACTGGACTCCCGGGACCTGGGGCTTTGGGGCCCTCCGGACGGGCCTCGAAGCGGCCACCGGGCTTCGCAAGGCGTTTTGCCAAGCCTTCCCAGCACACTTAGGGCGATCAGGAGGGTCATCGGAGACGTCCCAGAGACCCCCCAGACAGCCCAAGAGCGCTCCAAGAGTGACCGACGTGACCTCAAGATGGCCCAAGAGGCCTCCAGGACGGCCCCAAAGAGGCCTCCAAGAGCACTCCCAAGAAGGCCCCCCGACGCAAAAATCATTGATTTTCTGATGGTTTTCGGTGAAGTTGGGGGGTCTCCTCTTTTCGGCTTCCCGACGCTCCAAGACGGCGGTCCGAAGCCGCCTGGGAGGCTCCCAAATCGCCCCACAACCATCCGCAAGGGCTTCCAGGCAGTCCAAGAGAGCCCCAAAACGGCACAACACGGGTCAAAGATGGTCCTCAGAGAGCTCCATGGCGGCCCAAGATGGCCCAAAGACACCCTCCGAAGAATTCCAAATCGTGATTCGGTCGCTCAGGGAGACGGCGGTTGGAGGCAGGGTGGCCCGAGGAAGCCCCCGGAGGCCCCCAGAATACGCCTAGGAGGCCTCCAGAGGGCCGTAACAAAACCCGAAACAACTTTTGTGAGGCCCCTAGAGGCTCTCCAAGGAGGAGCCTGCACAGAAAAGAGCTGAGGAGGATGGGAAGAATGCGCAGGGTTTGGCGAACATAAGGAACAATAAGCATGGAGGAAGGGTAACGAATAACATCATTATAGCGGCGATGTCGGAAAAGGCAACCAGGAGTTATCGTTAAATTGTTGGTTTGACCTTCCTGCCATTCCGCCTGCATACCAAACTTCAAGGAGCAAGGTGCATGGCGCGAAGCGCCACTGCAGTCTTGTATGTATATATATACACATACATACAAGACTGCAGTGGCGCTTCGCGCCATGCACCTTGGTCCTTGAAGTTTGGTATGCAGGCGGAATAGCAGGAAGGTCCAGCCGACAATTCAGCGATAATTCCTTGTTGCCTTTTCTGGCATCGCCGCTATAATAATGTTATTCGGTATCCTTCCTCCAAACTTTTTTATTTTCGCCATACCATGCGCATTCTCCCCATCCTCCTCAGCTCTTTTTTGCGGAGGCTCCTCCTTGGAGAGCCTCTGGGGGCCTCACGCAAGTTGTCTCAAGCTTTCTTAAGGCCTTCTGGAGGCCTCCTGGGCGCATTCTGGGGGCATCCGGGGGCTTCCTCGGGCCACCCTGCCTCCAGCCGCGGTCTCCCTGAACGAGCGGGTCACGATTTCGAATACTTCGGAGGTTGTCTTTGGGCCATCTTGGGCCGCCATGGGGCTCTCAGAGGGCCATCTTGGACCCGTGTTGTGCCGTTTTGGGGCTCTCTTGGACTGCCTGAAGGCTTTTCAGATGGTTGTGGGGCGATTTGGGAGCCTCCCAGGCGGCTTCGGACGCCCAGAAGATCGCCGTCTTGGAGCGTCGGGAAGCCGAAAAGAGGAGAACCCCAAAATTCACCGAAAACCATTAGAAAATCAATGATTTTTGCGTCGGGGGGCCTTCTTGGGAGTGCTCTTGGAGGCCTCTTTGGGGCCATCCTGGAGGCCTCTTGGGCCATCTTGAGGTCACGTCGGTCACTCTTGAAGCGCTCTTGTGCTGTCTTGGGGGTCTCTGGGACGTCTCCGATGACCCTCCTGATCGCCGTAGGTGTGCTGGGAAGGCTCGGCAAAACGCCCTGCGAGGATCTGGGGGCCGCTTCGAGGCCCGTCCGGAGGGTCCCCAAACCCCAGATCCCGGGAGTCCGTTTTTTTTTTTGGGGGGGGGGACGGGTTTTCCCCCCGCCCGGGGTATATATATATATATATATATATATTATATATATATATATATGTATGTATGTGTGTGTATATATATATATATATATATCACAGTAAGGGCCATGCCAAGAAATACCCTGCGTACCTCCTGGGTGCCCTGGGTTTCGATGGCTTTACAATGGAATGCGTGACGTTCGCACACCAAAAACGAATGGACGTCCTGGGGCTCCAGGGTTGGATTTATTGTGGAAGGTTTCTTGTGGTCGGGCCCCTACTGCGCATGTATATTTATTTATTATATATATATATATATACACATACATGTAAAAAACATAAATGCACACGTGTGTATCGCCGATTCTAGGACGACGTTTCCCTCCTCAGCTGCCCCCCGCCCCCCTAACGTTCCCCCTCAAGGACAGGATCCTTCGCGACATGTCGCAGTACACCTCCCAGATCGTCAGGAGGGCAGGCGGTGAGGACGACGGCGCCACCGAGCGCGTCTCCACGGGTCGCGTCGTGCAGCTTGCGTCGGGGGAGATCCTGCTCCGGCCGCACGAGGCACGGAAAGCAAGAATCGGCATACCCAACAAGTGTGTCGGAGGGCGGTCGCGGGGATTTCTCGGACCAGCACTGGACCCCCCTTAGATGGCGGCGCGCTCCGCGAGCCACGAGGGTACAGCACCGGTCCAAGAGGAAATCCGCGCGGACCTCCGAAAATCAAGAAAGGAACCGGTGTGCCAGCAGGTGCCTCACTGAAGTTTTTTATCTCCTGATGGCCCCAGGGGTCCACAGAAGCTTGGGGGGCGGGCACCGTGAATGAACCCTACCTCTTTTAGCCTTGTACCCGCTGCCCCTTGCGGTTCGCACGTGTTGGCGTGCCGAGTGGTTTTGTTCACACCGCCTGCAGGACTCTGGAGGAGGGTGAGTATTCATCATCGTCCTTCATTCACCGTTACCGTTTTTACCGAGCTCGGGAGGCGATCGGCCATTCGATCCACCCCTCCTCCACACAGGTTATCAGGCTTTCCTTCTCTACCCCTTCGTGTGCGGCAGCCCTCGCGCGGCGGGTATCCACATCTTCCCTGATGGCGACCACCCCGCCTCGTGCGCGTGTGCCCCCTTCTGCGGCGGGTGTTGGTGACTCCCCTACCTCGCGGCTTGTGGCGCACAGTCTCGAAGATCTTGTGGATTCTGGCAGGGCGAAAGCCGCTATTGATTGATTCGGCACCTGCTCACGATGCTTTCGGCGAGCCGAACTTACACGCCATCCCCCACATAAGGACAATCGACTATGCAGATTTCGACCCTTTTGCTCAGCGCCTGCGGGGGGGAACCCCTGCAGGCGACAGCCATGGTGGACAGAATCGCCCCCAGGATGTTCACCGCTTGCAAAGGGGGCTTCCTGCAAACAGTGGTTCCCGCGGACCTCACAACACCCAGGACGCACGAATCCCAGGAGCCTTTGACCTCACCGTTCACAGTGTGCGGGGGGGAACTTCAGCAAGAACCCTACCGATGGCTGGTAGTACACTTCACGGACACCCTGTCCCCCCAGGTATCCTGGTTACGTTTGATCTTCGCGGTTCCTCAGAATGAACACGCAACGTCTCCGCTCCAGAGCGTGCAGATCGTTGATTTCGCGTGGTTGAGCAAGTTCGTAATATCGAGTCACGGCGCATGGTTTCAGAGCTTGGCCTTCCCCACACTCGCGCCACCTATGTCTTTCGACTTCGCGCCGCCAAAGACGAGTTTACCCACCGTGAATTCCGCCAGATGGGTGATTGCAGCATGGCCGCCCAGGACATTGCCGCAGCCCTTCCCACAAGGGCCGCACGGCGGGCGACAGAACACCCTTGTCAGCTGCGCCACAATTGCGCGTGGCTGAGCTGAGGGACCAGGTTGGAACATCCGCTGCCGTTGAAACATCTTGGGGCCGTGTCGTCATGACTTCTGTCATTTTCGACCTCCTACACCTCGGGGCCAAGATCCCCGCGATCCGGTATCGCAGCGACTCAATAGCTCGCCGTCTCAATGGAGGGGTACAGGCGCTGGCGCTGGCCATTCCCAGCACTGCGCCCCGAGACACGCGACGCCCAACAGGACCTTTACGGGACCTTTACGGCGACCCACACCCAACGCTTCAGCGACACCCATACTGCATTCATTCCTGCGTTATTCGCCAGAGCCTTAGTGTTCGAACAGACCGTGCCTGAGCTGCGCGCCGCGAGGACCCAGGCCGGACAGCCGGGCACCGCTTCGGTTGAGAACCACGTCATTTTGGCAATTGTGGCTCAGACCTTGCCAGCGACGGCGGGCCCAATGCAAATGCAGTTCCACGGAGTCTAGACCGAGCAAGATGCCTTGATTGACGGCGCGGGCAACAGGCCGTCCAGACCCGATTGGCGATTCAATGTCAAGGGTCGCGCGATTTGAAATCTATTCCGACGAAATCTCTACAGCTGGAAAACAGCGCTCTCGCGCGCGAAGCGAGCCATTGAGACCAACGAGGAAGTCGAGGGACTTCCAGGGCGCGCGGACCAGCTACAGCGGGATCGCACGGACATCGAAGACAAGCTGTCCGCCCACATAGCAGACGCTACGCAGCACCATTTACATCGACCATTTACAGACATAGAGCACACAGGCTGGGCGGAGCCAATCACCAGCACCCACCGCTTGCACTGCCCGAGCGGCTGCACCTGCTGCCGCGGCGGATGGGCCGCCCGCGGGCAGCGGGCGCGAGTCTGCAAGTTGCAGCGCCCATTCGCTTATCGCTCTTGGCTCCACAGCCGCAATTTCTGAATGCATCATCGGCGGTTTTCTCTTCGCGGCCCTGGCCGTGATCCAGGGAACTGAGACCAGCGAGGTGATGCGCCTTTTCAAGATCACCCAGGTGACTACGCTAAGCTTTCTGCAGCGCCTCCAGCTGGCCCGCCGCCGCCCACCTTTTCATCTGCGTCGCCGAGCAACCTGGCATACAACTGGAAACCTACGCGACAGCGGGGACGTCGAGAGTCCGGACTGCAGGCTAGCCGCGGCACTCCGTAGACTTTCTCCCACGAGATGCGCCGGGGCGTCAGACTCTGGGAAAATGCAGATCGCCGACCGGGAAGCGTGCTCTGAGGCCGCCAACTATATTGGTGTACCCTGCGCTCCTATGACGTTGAGGACGCCGATCGCGCGATCCACGACGTCGCATTCATAAACGCGTTACGCCTGCACGACGATGACCTTAGGAAGTGCGGGCCACATTCGGATAATCAACATGCTATTGCAGCTTCGCGAGACACCATCGCGCAGCAGATTGGAGCGTTTAGTCCGCGCCCAGATGCGCCGCCATCCATGGGCGCACGAAGGTGGGGCAGCTCGCGACATGGCACCGGGACAGACCCTCGACGGCGACGTTGCTCTTGGCTTCATCAGCGAGTCAGTGCTACCATCAAACGACACCGAGGTCAACGTGATTAGCGCGGACTTCAAAGAACGCCCCGTTGCCGCAGCAGCGACGCCGTCTACGCGGGGGCCACGGGAACAACGCTACGTCGCCGTCAGCAAGGGCAAATGCACGAATGGAGTCGCATGCAAGCTCCCGCGGACAAGTTCGGGCGCGCCATCGCGACCGCCACCCAGTTCCACCAAGCAACGCCGCTGCCCCCAACGACCTACGACGGCACCACCTAGCCGATATTGCCATGCCCTTGCAAAGTCGGGGTCGCGCCCCCGCGGCAACAGCTGCGACCGCCGTCGACTTCCGGGCGGCAGCCTCTAAAAGGCCAGCAGTAATTGCGCCGAGGGCAACCAGTGCCCGCGCCCCCGCGTCAACTCCCGCCACGAGTCATCACCTCGGAGTCCGAGCCGCCCGCGCTGCACACGGCCGTCGCGGGTGCCGGGGCTTCGCCGCCCGCCCGACCGCGGCCGCCGCCCGCCCCGCCGCCCGGGGGGCGCGCGCCGACCGGGTCGCGACGGCCGCGGTCGTCGCAAGGGCTCGCGCCCCTTCCCCCGCGATTCCCGCCGCAACTCCTGCGACCCCCGCGCGGGCCCCGCCGCGGTCGCAGCCAATCCCGGGGCTCGCGGCGCCGTTCCCGGCGCAGGCGACCCCGCACCAGGGGTTCCTACGGCGGCGCCAGCAACCGCAGTTGACCCACTTCACTTGGGCGCCGCCACGCCACGGGCGGCGGCGCGACCTGGCGCGCCCGACCAAAGGCAGCTCGCCGGCAGTCGCGCCTGCCATGCGCAGGCGACGCGCCGTCTCCAAGAACAGCGAGAACATTGCTGTCCACGCCTAGTCCGTGTCCAAGAAGATGCGGCCGTTCACGGACCCGCCCAACCAGGGCGCCGCCGCGCGCATCCTGGAACCCCGGACCGGCAAATTGCGAATGTAATCAGACCAAGGCGCGGTTGTGGCACGCGCCGAGGCATTTTAGTTGACCGGCGCCATTCAACGCGACATCGACTACCACGTCTTCGACCGTCATGCCAGCGCGCTCGACCGCGCCGCGTCGCGGCGGGGACTGCGCCCGACTGCGGGGGAAAAGTTACGCATCAACAGACTCCGACGAACCAGCAGCTCTTTCGCGCCAGTGCGTTCTCGGTTCGGAATCGGATCGGCACAGCGCATCGCGGGCGGAGACGAACTACCCCACTAGGAGGTGCAATATATTTGCATTGGGCGACGAGTGCATCCTTCAAGCTGCCAATGGAGAGCGCACTGTGGACGAGCGCGTCAGGTTCCAGATGCTAGTGGCCAAGCTTAGCAGCGACGCGATGGCTTTGAACAGCTCCGCTCCGGGATTTTTCTTTCGGCCGCCACATCAAGGTGGATGACGTCGGCCCGTTGTGGACGCGGAGGGGCGGATGTTATTGCGGCGTGCGTTGCCCGCGAGGTGGTCGCCCCCGCGCGATTTACCGAGTCTTCCATTGCAGACCACACTGTTGTCTCCCAGCCGTCACTCGGCACGATGACATGCACGCCTTCGTTTTTTTCCCGACCCATGTACTGCCGCCATCGCAGCATACCCAGCGGGCACAAGGATGCGGAAACCACCGGATACCCCCCCCTGCAAAGCACATTTATGCCGACAGTTCTGGCGAGATCATCATGGCCCGCTGCAAACGTGGATGGCGATGCGACGCCGGCACCCCGCGCCGTCCACGCAGGAATCGATTGGCTGAGCGAACGGCGAAGCGCGTTTTCAACGGCGTCAAATCTGCGCAGCGCGCATCTGGATTGGGACACGAATTATGGGGACGAGCTACGCAGTGCAACTGATGCGCTCGCGAGTTTGCCGACCCTACCCCTGGTATTGCAACGGCCCAGCCAATGACAGCACCGCAGCCTGCACTGCTCGCTGCAGCGGATCCGTCTCCGGTCGCGCCTTGCCCTCTGACGCGCGCGCGCGCGTTGCAAGAGCCCGCGCGCCGTGCTCAACGTGCTCAACAGGGGCGCCAACCATTTTGATGAGCGCACGCGCGAAGGCCAGTTCACGGGGCACCACCTTCACTCGGGCGGCCGTTGGTCCGGCGACAAGTTCGCCAATGGCGCGGCCACCCGCGCGCAG